ATATACATACTATTTTAACTTATATTATTTTATTCATTTTAATTTACTGACAAAAATGACGAGCTAATAAAAAATTTGTCATCTCGTAACTAGATACTATAAAGTCGGAGCACAAAAACTTTTGTATAACACATAATACATAAAGCATAAGAAAATCAACCAATCAGAATCTTCTATTATTTTATTTCACAGAAAAAAAAAAATTAAAAATTTTGATTGATTTTTTACTTATAATAAGAAATTATCTAAACTTTTAAGTCTTAAATCGTAAAAAATTGACCAATTACAGTTGAATATGACATAAAAAATAATCGAATATCATTGATCAATTTCTTATGCTTGTTTCTACCAATGTAGTTTAATTTTAATCGTGGTTCAACTAACTCTTCAACTTTTTCTGCACTGAAAAAAAATATAATTAATTTTAAATATATAGTTCATTATAAATATAATTATTTAGTTGAATACTGCCAATTAAATATTTATTAAATATAATTATATATTTATTTGATACAAGAAATGTTAATTTAATTTAACAATCATTTTTTTTATTGAACAAATATTTACTTACTGTAAGTAAATGTTTAGTTTGGCAATATTAAACTAAATATTTATTAAAATTAACTATATTTTTTTTCAGTGTAATTCTAAAAATTAAAAAAAAAAGATAAAGAATTTGAACTAAGATAAAATTAATCTACATTGATAGAAACGCATTATAGACTTAAAATTTAAAACTTATAATAGTTTATTGTAAATAACCCATTATGCATTATGCGTCATGCAAGACTGTGTTCTTACCCTTAAAGGTCGCAGCAAGGGAATCAACCAATCGAAATTCTTCTTTTCCTCTTTTATGGCATAAGAAGAAAGAAAAGATTCTTAATTGATTCGCTTATGCACTATGCGTTATGCAAAAGTCTGTGCTGCGGCTTTAAACGGAAAGCACAAATTCTTGCATAACGCATAAGGTATAAGAAATTGAACCAATCAGAGTTCTTTATTTCATAGAAAGGAAAGAAACGAAGAACTTTGATTTGTATATTTTCTTATGCATTACGTGTTATACAAAAGTTTGTCTCCGTCATAAAGTTTGTATTTAAAATAATGGAAAAAGAAGAACTTCCAGTACACCTGGCGCAATGCATCGGCTGCTAAAAAGTATATATTTCAGCTACGAGATCAAACATGGTGCATGTGCAAGAGTGTGCAATTAAATAATAAAATTTAATGAAAACACGTAGAACTCGTTCAAAATAGTAACTTAAAATATTTTAGGACGGCACTCATCGATAAAATAAAGATAAATGGACGAGACGAACGGACGGACGAGACGAACGGACGGACGAGAAGAACGGAAAGCCGGTGAAATTAAGCGCGTGCTCGTATTAGAAATAAAGTGCGAAAAAGTAAAGTATATGAAGAAACACGTTAAAACAATTTACCCCAGTAAGAAAGTAGTTTCGCGAGGGTTATAAAGTTGTCGGAAGGGTTAATTGATTTGGAAAATCGTTAAGGGGTGAGCCCGATCCTAGGCATCATAAATGGGAATATTTCCGGGCTGTGTGCGAGTGTCTGTGGAAGAGACAACTTACGTGATAGCTCCACCTCGACATTGACTCTGGAGGCGGCGTTCGAGCGCCTGGTGAAAACGCTTTTAACATTTTTCAGCAACCTCGCCGTCTCGGTCAATCTGTAAAGCCGGGCATTCAGCAATGATTTAAAGATTCTCGGCTGGCCGGAGAGAGCTCCTCTCACGTCCACGCGTCGCATGGACAACGACAAATTATAATTCGTTCTTTATTTTTTCTCAGTGTCTATCTTTCTAAATCGTCGCTCTATATAATCTCTCGCTTTCGGGATATTCTCGGCCGACAATGCTTTTCCAAACTCAAACGCGAAACTCCGAGTTTTCTTTTTGTTTCACATCGATGGATATTACGAATACGTGATAAGTGCGATACAATTACTGTGCAGAGTAAAACAAGATGAAAAATCAAACGTGAAGATCGTGAGGGGTGGATGTTAATTTACTATAAAGAGAAAAATCGACACTACTCTTATTAGAAAATTAATTAATTAATTAATTATGATAATTAGACATGCGCGCTGCTGATAAGCAAGGTGTATACGTATGCTATCGCAAGCATGAACAAAGTTATAATTACTGCCTTAGGAATTGTGAATTACTCCGGGACATGAGAAAAATTGCGTGATTGCCATTTTCAAATCGCTGTGCTCTGTGCTTAGCCTCTTTTAACCCAGCGGTACATTAAACGATCATGCGATCTCATTAATCGGCGGTGTTCTCGCTTGTTTGTAATGTGAAGAGAAAGAAAAAAAAAAGATATAAGTAGGAGTACTGAGAAATTATATACTGGGTACTGGGGAAGTACTTACACCTCGCGAGATCGGCGATGGCATGCACAGGTCTGCACGGGATACCACGTAAGAGAACACATCAAAAAAGACCGCATTAACGAACGACAAATCGTTTACAGAATTAGTATAGTAGCTGATACACCGTTAATTCTATAAGCTCTATTTACTTGAAGAATACGGTCAATGTGATGCTACAAATGCTTTGAAGTATTTTTTAATTGGCCATTTAGTAAAATTCTTCTGATTGGTCAATCAAACGCTTCGAAATGCTTTGTAGTAAGACTTTGATCGTACTCTAAGAGAATAATTGAGAGGATACAAGGACTTCTAATGCTATATAACTCAAAATTTATCCTAAGATAAAGGTCTAAATATACCGATGATCTAGCTCCATTGGAATATTTTATGTGCACGTATGTATACAGTTATAAAAAATAAGGGACTGATTTGCTGTCAATACGTATTATATGCTACAGTGAGAAAAAATATACTGAATTTAATAAAATATTTGTTTGAATAATACTAATTTAACATTTACGGTAAATAGTATTTACTAAATAAAAAAAAATGATAGTTAAATTAATAGTTCCTATACCAAAAATAAATATACATTTATATTTACACTTAGTAAATATTTAATTAATACTATTCAAACCAATATTTATTAAAATTTAACAATTTTTATCTCAGTGTAATAGGGAATACATTAATTGATGATCCTATGTAAATCATGAAGGATATGTAAAGTAAATTTTTAATTTGAAACAAAAGGCAGGATTAATAATAATGATAATGATAACAGAAAATATATTAGAGATACAATAGAACCTGTAGCACGTCACCGTATTATAATGCATTATTTTTTACAATCTTGCAAAATAATGCAAATAATTGAACCGGGAATGAAAGCCGTGCAAGAGATTCTATTAGATATGATATATTCAATACATCTAAATTAAATATATACAATTATATCTACAATTATTAATCATTATAATTGTATTCTTTGAACATTACATATCAAATATAAAAAAAAATATAAGAAATGCATATATATTTTTAACATAACTCAAAAAAAATATAAATATTTCTGGATACGCAGAGACTAGACAAATAATTCATAGTGCATACGTATACAGAAAACTGTGCTGCATAAAGTTCAGCACTGATCATTTTATATGCACAAGATTTATTACGTTAATTCTAATATTGCACTCGAAAGGAACATGTGCGCGCATAGTAATCGCATATACTAAATGCTTACTATATTGGCATTCTTGGAAGACTGGAATATATCGGATGGATGGGAAGATTATTCAGGAATATGAGATTTGAAGTGTTGCGGTTGATGCATGCTCGGAACGGTGCGTAAACCACGAGCCACGTGCTACAAACGGAAACACTCTCAGCCTACTGCGTCTTCGTCGCGGATAGATCAAGGTCCAATATCGATTTAACCATCGCTTCGTCGACCTCCTGTCATAATTCATATTTATCCGCTCAATTAGGAGGCAATGATATTCAAGTAAGCATAATTAAAGGTTTGTCATTTCAAAATGCACTCCGATTAACACGTAAGCGAACAGACAAACGACAGTTAGTTTAGGAAAATCAGATAAGTTTCCCGTGATTAAATTAGATTAATAGTTGTTACATACATGCACCTAAATGTATCAAAACATAAAGGATTTTTGTTCAGTTTTAGTCAAACCACTCAGGCACCAATATAAATCTATTCTCAAATACAAACAGTACGCGATAATGGAGCTAGAATCTAGAAAGCCATGCACAGTTTCGATAAGTCAACAAAATATATATGGTCATTAGAATGATTCATGCATTAATAGCACCAATAGAGTATTAAATGTTTTTACAATGTACGCTAATTTTTTCAACGAAACAAATTAATAATAAATCGATATTTTGTTTATCGGGCAGCCTAAATCGTCGATTATAATAATGCAATCTTTCGCCATAATCTGAATTAAATGTTAGAAAGCATTTCTTCTATCATTTAAAATGCCATTTTGTATTTTTTATGTATTAATCTTGGATAAAAGAAATGAAGATACTTACGAACTTCTATAATCCTGATTGTTGAATATATCACCAGGATCGGACTTCCTAATTTCATTCTCTCGAGCTGCTTCCGTTACAGATTTCCAAACTGTATTCTTCACTCTAACAAAATAGACCATAAGTATAAAATGTTATCGTACAAACGCGCGCCTTTAGTAGTAACTGTACTCACGCTTTTACTGTGATATCCAATAGTAATACCGCGATAGGTATTAATATAAGTCCTAGCCAAAAAACAGGCGATGAAAATAACATTTTATCATTACCCAGCATTACAGCACCAACGTTTAAGACGGGCCAAAAATTACTGCAACAACAAGAATGCATTAAATGTATTACTTGTTGTTAATGCATGAAAGTGCATAGCAATGTTATGTCGAAAGAATCTTACCTATATATAAAAATAAATAAGAACCAAAGTATTATAGACCCCCACGTCGCCAAATGGGTGACCCATGTCCATGAGTTTATTATTAGACCCGCCTTCCCGCATACCGTTACTACAACATACTGAGAAACCACACGCTATGTAAGTAATCTTTTTCATAAGAACTTTCATAAATTTTTTCTCTCATAGAATTACATAATATAAAGGATTATATTCACCGTATAGACGAAATTTCCTAATAAAAGATAACCGCCGTCTCTACCGTTTGCCCAAGCAACGTCTTGCTTCAGAGCCATTAGCGGCAGCCAGTATAATAGTGACGAATGAATTAATGCATTTATAATCCATACCCAAAATACCTATATTTAAATACGTAGATACATTTAGAAACGTCTCATTTTTTTTAAACTATACTATTATACTTCTAAATTTAACACTTTATATTTACTTTAATATTAAAGAACGATTCGCCGTTATTCTTCGTCGCATACAATCCTGGATGGGCTAAATGAGTTTCCGCGGAACATACTTTATCAAAGAGACCCATAGCTAACGGAGGCGCAGCGGTAAAGACCTATAAAATACACCAGAGTCATTGGAAATTAATTTTATTAGAACAAAATAATTTTGTATAGTTTTTAAAACTTACCACGTTGTAAAGCCCAATGGACCATCTTTCGAAAAGAATCTGCCCGGACCAGCCGGAATAGATGGCAAACCATAATTCGATAACATATAGACAGATATTCTTGTAAAATGAATATAAGATTAATTTACACATTCTGCTGTAATTCCAAGAGCCGTGAACAAATAATAAACGTTTCAGAAAACGAAATTGTGCAATGGAGTAATCAGAGGCACAAGCCGCTTGAAGACCTTCCACGCCTGAGATACCTACAAGAAGCGAAACATCGCAATATTTTAATGACAAAAATATTCAACAAAAATTATAATAGGCACAATAAAACTTACCGACGCCAATGTGAGCTTTCTGTATCATAGCCACATCGTTTGCGCCATCCCCGATCGCAAGAGTCACCGCTTTTTTGTTACTCGTGATTAAATCAACCACCTAAATTGTCAAAACATTTGAAAGAAATTACATTTGCAATTGATTATATTATGTAAGTTCAAATAGAATTAAACTGTTACCTCAGCTTTTTGAATTGGCGATACCCTGCAACAGATAACAACTTTGCAAGCTGAACACAATTCCAAGAACTCCATCCTGATGTCGCAAGACAAAGCGTAATCTAATGTACTGCCATCTATAATCAGGGCTACGTCGTTTTGGCATTTCAAATCAATCCCAAAATCAAGACAGCGTTGAATGATGACTTCCCTCGTTTTCTACGATACATGTTACGTAAGGCATTTTACGTTAGGTCGACTGAAAGTTTAAAACTTTGATCACCTACTTACATCCAAAGAAGATTCATTAATAATATAAAGTGGCATTCCATGTGTTATCAATTTACACGAGTACCCAATATTTATGGCAGTTTCCTGCTTATCTCCCGTCAATACCCAGACATGGATATCAGCTTGTATAAAAGCTTGTATTGTTTCTGGGACCTGAAATTATATAGCATTACAGAAATTCAATAAGACATTACAATTCCATGTTCAATTTTTTCATCATTTAATAGTATTCCATACTTGATCTTGTAGTTGATCTTCAATTGCAGTTGCTCCTAATAACGTAAGTTTAGTCTCAATAAAATTCGCAGCTTGTTCCAGCATACTTTCACGATTCCTAAGACTAATTGACGCTTTATGGTATGATTCGCGCCACCACTATAAAAAATTGTCGAAAGTTCTTAGACAATTTATTAACTTCAAAACAAAATAGAATACACACCTGGTAAACGTTATCAGGTATTTCTGCGGAGGCGAAACAAAGCGTCCGTAATCCATCGCTGGCAAAGGCTTCCAAATGTTCTAGGGTCGTCTCACGAAAATCCGCGTGCTCTAGGTCAAGATCGCTAGTTTCTAAAGAAGTCGACATCAATCTTTCGTAGATGACTGAGTCTGCGCCTTTGCAAAAAATCTTAATCTTTCCCTCAGGCGTTTTCACGATCACAGACATACGCTTCCTAGCCGAAGTGAATTCTATAACGTTCAGGATTTCGTAACGCAACGTCTCGCCTAAAGCTACAATTTCCACATAACTGGGCGTCCGCGTATCGAACACGTAGTTAAATTTACGTGCTCCATCCACTAGCGCTCTTTCATCTAACACGTAGAAAAAAGAATGTAACGTAATTCGTTAAACAACGTATCAAGCAAGAATTTCGCAAACGATTCTTACCAGGAGACGCTGCGTGGTAGATTATGGAGTCATCTAATTTTTCAGGAATAACCGTGTGGCAAACCGACAACATAACCATAAACTCATGAAGTATGATCGCGTGCTCCGCTTTCTTCTTATCGATAGGATTCGACAAATCGCGCACGGATCTTCCTTCCATGATATCCTTAATTAACTCGCAGCTGCTATCACTTGTACTTTCGTCATTTAATGGATTTGGCAAACTATAAAATATTAAAAATTGAGCATACAAATTAATATTCGATGTCAGTATTATAAGTTCCTATGGCAGAAAAAAATATACCATTGACATGAAACTTACTCGTACAGTCTTCCACCGATCGAACATCGCTTAAATTCCATAACGTTTTTCGTAAGGGTGCCAGTTTTGTCTGTGAATATGTATTTAACTATCCCGAGTTCTTCATTCAGATTACTCGTACGAGCCATCGCTGGAGTATCCGTCTCCGGGTGATACATTTCTATATCCATATTAATAAACGTGGCCTGAACAAATCTCACTACTTCGAGCGTCACTTGCAACGATATCGGTATTAGATTATTGAAGAGAATAATAAACGTCAGTAGATTGAAAGCGAAGTTCTTAGTCATTTCTTCTGCAAGGAAAAAAAGGGTAAAACTTGAGTACTTCTTGAGATGCTGCCAACAGAAGTTCGCCTGTACCATGCATTTACCTTGTAATCCCAGATACCAGAGACCTTCTTTGTTGGCATTCGTCCACATGACATTGAATATCGCGGAAAGAATGCACAACAGAAGAAGTATGAAAAATAGCATCAGTGTCTGCGTGTTGATCAACCGATCCAAAGTAGATCGTTTTAACGGCGCTGTCGTGGTATTATTCTGCATGAGTTTCGTGTCGTGTCCCGTGTATATCACTACACCAAACACCCACCGCGTATTCCGCAACACCGCGCCACGGAGTAATAATTGATCGGGTCCTAAAGCTACGCTCCTGTGAAAGAACAATGCCGCTTGTGATGTAATAACGCATTAACTAATGCACGACATGAAGATATAAAGACGTTACAACAGATGTCATTTTCATTAATAAAAATACAAAACGTGAAAAATATTTAAGACTTCGTAGTTGATAAATGACGAATTGACATAACCCTGATAAAAATTTTTCTCAGAATTTTTATAAAAATTGTGAAGCACATTTTTTAGAAATGTTAAGAAGTCTACCTACATCTTTTCTTAAATCTTTTCTTTGAATGCTCATTCTTTTTTCAGATTTTTTTTTTAATGTTTCAGCGGAGGCGTTACGACCACCTTCTATGCTGGAATTTACTTTTGCGTCTCATCACAAGAATTGCTAAATCTCTGAAGCTCAATCTCCCACCAACGGCAACGAACAAACAATTAAAAAAAAAAAAAAAAATTCCACCAATTTGCATATACGAATATAATAAATTTAATATTTTCTTTTGTAATAATATATTTAACGATTAATGCAATATATTATTACATTTTCTGGCTTTAGTTTTTGAAAATATATTCTGATTACGTCTTCAATTGTTATGTAATCAAGACTGATTACGTGATCAAAACTGTTCGCCAAATCTTATTCAATTGACATCATAGCTAAATCGCATGATCGCGTATGCGTCATTGTATTTCTCAGATAATTTTTTATTATTTTTAATTTTGAAAAAGATGCCTCTGCAGTTGCCACAAACATTGGCACTATTAATAAGCTCTGTAACGCTATTGTTAAATTTGAAAAGATTTTTAGAAAACCACTTTTAGCTTTCATTTAAAATGTCAAATAAGGTAGAGCTTTATATATATAAGAGCGCTGCCTATTAAAATTTTGTGTCTCTCCAAATTTTACGCCCTATGCTGGAGCGCTGCTTAGTGCTTCGTAACGCCTCCAAATTATTTCAGAATATTTATATGTATTTTAGAAAAGATATAGACTTCTGAAAATGTTCCAATTTGTATAAAAAAAATTTGAGAAATTTTCTAAAAAGTTATTGAATTATTCAGAAATTTTAAAAAATTTGTTTGAGAAATTTAGAAAAAAATGTTCACCAAGAAATCCAGATATGAGAGAATTTCAGGATCATAAATAATAATAGATTAACGTAATGAGAAGGAAAATGCGCAATGAGAAGGAAATATAATTGAAAGTATTTTGCACATGCATGTTTATGTTCTTACTGTTTATTGGTCTCCCGTAAGACTCCGTGGAACTCATACAAATGTCTATTGGGCGGCTCACACTGGATGTTCGCGCGAAAATTCATTAATTCCGCGGTATCCAAGAGATTGGCAGTGTCGGGATGGGCCTGTCGGATTTTCAGATTCGTCTCACCATCCAGGTTGGCGGTCTCTATGAAGGACATACCCTGCGGCTCCGACGATGACAACAAAATCAAGTCAGCAGGGAAGAAAGTGTTGTTGTGAACCTATGCATATTAAAGAGAGCGATTCTAGCGGGGAGGATGTAACCGGCGTTAATTATTATCACATGAATGATCTTGGCGAAAACAGGGAGCAACCTTAACCACATCGCCGACGGCCACGGCGCGCCACTGTATCCATTGCCAGCGCCCTTCTCTCAGCACCTCTACTTCCCTCATATTTATTTCATCATCTGCTCTATGTCTTTTCTAAAAATTGATAAATATGTAAAATATATTTATACAATTATTCTAATAGTCATCATAAAGAAAATATGATAACAAATATACGTACAACATCCTCGATTATCTCTTTCAAAGCGGATACACTAAGGATAAAAATCAGTGGAACTAATGTAGTCCAACGTCCTGTCGGAGACACATCTGGTATTTGCTGAAAATTTAAATTGAAGAAAAATGCTTCCAATACATATATAATATAAAGATCCTTTCTTTTACTTAGAAAAAATTTGTGAAAAAATATTATTAAGGAATTTCGAATTTTCGTTCGTTGTATCATGTCACATTCGTAATATTTCTGTACGAACTTTACCTGCATAAGTGCGATGAACAGGAAGAAACAGTTGCTGTAGCGACGGAATTGTTCGAACAGGAACAGGGGTACGAACGATAGAAATGAGTATTTCGCGGTAGTAATGTGATTGTTTTTATATTTCGCAGGTTGATGAGGGGCATTGACGAAAATTACTCTTTCTTCGCCATCATTCTGTTGCGTGGCTGGTTGATCATCACCCTGTGAGCCATTTTCCGCTCTTATCGGACCAACTATAACACAAAATGCATTCAATTTTATATGTATCGTTTCTTTGCAAATACAACATTCATAATCTCAGTATTAAATTTTCCTTTTTCATTTAATTCAATAATATCAATAGTTATATATGTATATCATTTATATATGTATAACGTGTCTCGTAGTTATAATCTATATTTATGTTTAACTTTTCTGTCTGAATCTCTTTGACTTAAAATATAATCTATTTTCTTGCAAATATTTTATTAATTATTTTAAAACTTTTCTCTCTAGTATCTGATAATTTTATCTATTAATGTAAAATTTTTTTTCTATAAAATTTTTCATTCTTTAGAATTTTTTTTATTATATTGACCCACAAACAATTTACTTCAAAATAACACAATTCAATTAATAACGTCAAATAACATTTTTTAAGTTATGTCTTTTGAAGCAAAGAAACAACACGATCGTATAATAAATTTGAGTAGAATTATTTAACAGGATTAATCAATAATTTAATCAAATATTTAATTTAACCAACAATTTAATAAAACGTTTTCCATTTCCTATGTAATTTCTTTCCATAAACAAGAAAATCTCTTACAAAAGATTCGTCCAATTTATCTTGGAAAGAAAATCGAACAATTTTGCATAGCCCGCAGGTTTCTCCGAGTTTCTATTATAGACTTGCATTTTTCCACTCGTCAGATACAGAAATACATCTTCGACCGAAGGAAAGGTTAATGTAAAGAACGTAGTCACGCTACTTTATCGAAGATTTCGATCGTAAGAGTGTTATTGTGGCCAGACATAAATGACATTCGTATCATGCTATTTCTTCTATAGCCACCAGCCGTGTATCGTTCCGCCCACAAGCAGCGAACTGACAGTTGCACCGCGACACAATTCGCAGCAAATGACCACTATTAAAGTATTATACATAGCTCGCTAAACTTGAAAGATAAATAATACGGCTGCAAGTATCGTAGTGTGTTCTTGGCCGATGCGCAACGAGCGCAATTTACACAAGAGTCCTCAGTTTATCGTCATGCACTTACGTAATTTACATTTACCATTTATTGATTTATGCAATATTGACTTTATATGTTTGCTATGTACGTATGTATGTACAGATGATTACTACATTATTTTTCTTTCATTATTTTCTCACTATTTTTCTTTATTTTTCTTCAAAACCAGATAAATAGGAAGAATTGAATAATTAAATAATATATAATGGTCAGAATAAAAATACTGGCGCTACGTTATTTGTATCATGTTTTTTTTTTAATTTGGCAATTATATCATTCGATAGAGCCAAGTTTCAGCTTTGAGAATCTATTTTTTTTAATTGCAATACGACGATTTATCACAGAGCAATCAAAGTTAAAATGCTCCTTTTATTTAATTCGTAACTCAGTCACAAAAAAATCTTAGAAACAATTTTGTAGAAATTTTAAGTTATCACGTTAAAAAATTGAAAAATTCGCAAATTTTTTTTTAGTATATAACAGGCCCACAAAATAAGAAGAAAATTTCCTATTTTATTCAGCTCGTATAGTTTTCATATAAAAATTACCAAACTCAGAAGAACTCAAGACATAGTGATCTTTTAAAAGAGATTTTAAGCTTTAAAATTATTCTTTTTTAAAATTTAAATTTTGTTTATTCTTAACAAAGTTACAGATGTTCGAATTTTGAAGTTCATAACACAATACATTTTGGGTTTATTCGGATTTTTAATCGGATATATTTTGATTTTAATACAATAATAAAATAGAAGAAATTTCTCTGCATTTGATAAAATAAGTTAAAATCTATAAATAATCTCTATATATTTAAGTACAAGTAACAACAATTCAACATCATTGTAAACATCAATAACATCTCGTTACATTATAATAGAATTTAAAAACGTATGACATTGTATATACCTGTTCTCTATATTCTGCAGAAATGGATTTTCACAATTTTAGAACACTCGCTGCCGATTCGAGAATACGACTACGTCAATAGAATAAAAGATAAGTAGTCGCAACTGAGATAAGTACGCTTAATTAATAATCCAATGTGTACTTTCATCTATGCTGCCATTTAAAGAGATAGACTTTGACGTATAAAAATTTAAATGATTAATTACACTTAATACATAATAATTACTGTAATATAAAAAAATTATATATTATATTTTA